CAGGGAGTCTGCTTCTCCCTCTGACCCTCCCCCCTCTCATGTGCTCTCTCTCATTCTCTCTCTCTCAAATAAATAAATAAATAAATCTTTAAAAAAAAAATTTCAATCCCTGGGTACATGAGGCTCAGTCGGTTAAGCATCTGCCTTCGGCTCAGGTCATGATCCCAGGACCATGCCCCACATTGGGCTCCCTGCTTAGCGGGCAACTTGCTTCTCCCTCTCTCTCTGCCACTCCCCCTGCTTGTGCTTTCTCTCTCTCTCTGTCAAATAAATAAAATCTTTATTTTTTTATATTTATTTATTTGACAGAGAGAGGGAGTGAGCACAAGTGGGGGGGGCACGCACATAGAGGGAGAAGCAGGCTCCCCACTGAGCAGGGAGCCAGACACGGGGCTCGATCCCAGAACCCTGGGATCATGACCTGAGCTGAAGGCAAACACTTAACTGACTGAGCCACCCAGGCGCCCCTAAATAAAATCCTAAAAAAAAAAAAAAAAAGACTTAGGAGAGTGCCAAGCACATAGTAAGTGCTTAATAAATGTTTGTTAAACACATAACACTTCTAAATATGTTATATGAGTGTTTGTTTTTGCTATATTTGTTAAGTGAATGTTCTGATTTTCACTTTTATTTATTTTTAAGATTTTAAGTAATATCTACACCCAATGTGGGGCTCAAACCCACAACCCCAAGATCCAGAGTCACAAGCTCTACCTACTGAGCCAGCCAGGCGCCTGATTTTCACTTTTAAAGGTTCATTCAAAAACCTTATACAGGTTCCTTTATTATAAGCATGCTTTTGGAGTCAGAAAGGGCTTCATCTATCACCTAATAAAGCCCTTTCATTCTGATGAGGAAATTAAGGCTTAGAGAGGTTAACTGGCAGAGTTTCAAAAAGCTAGTCTGTGAGAAATCCAAGACAAACCAGGTCTCCTGATTCTTTGTCCTGTGCTTTTTTCACTCCACCATCCTTTTAAGAATAGCAAATATCTGTAATTGATCAAGCCTCATACTTGCCAAACTGGCAACCTGTAAACTCCTTGAAACAGTACAGAAAACTTTCATGTGTTTGTATATATGTACATTTTAAGCATTTTTCTGGAAAGATAGTTTTCAAATTCCCAAAGGGATTCATGAGCCAACCCTCTCACCCCCCCCCCCAAAAAGTTAAGAACCATTAGAGTCCTAACCCACTTAGGAAATCACAGGCAATTAACTTTATCTGGGCAGTGTCACTAGGCAGTTTTGTGTTACTCAAAGCTAACCATAATCATTTTGTTACACTGGCATTTTAATAGATTTTTAAAACACCTTGCTAATCACTTAAAACATTAAAACTTAAGAGGTTTTTTTTTTATCATACATAGCTTCTCGTGACTAAAATGAAAAAAAAAACCCTCATGATAATAACAATATTATGTCCTTAGTTATCTGCTTTCACTTACCCTTACAAACACTAACTCATACCTATTAACTGTATATATCAAACCTATTAAACCCTTACAAGAGAAAAGGCAGATTCAAATACCTTTACACTAACTTACCAGCTTACGAGGGCAAACTAGAAAAGTACACTACAAAACTGCAAATCCTAAAATCTTTGGCGACACCAACATAAATAACAATTATATCTCAATTACTTGTGCTTTATTCTATGTACCTTGGTGTCATCTCAGCATATCCCACTGGCTCTCCTATATAGAAATCTCAACTTCAAGCAGAATAAAATAGTACTGCACCATACCTTTGACATTGCTTGCAGAAAGATACAGAGACCTGTTTCGGAATGCCTTGGCTGATGTCTACTTTACTTCGCAAACAGGCCACACAAATATTGGCAGGATTTGGACTAATTGGGACACCACACTCACAGCACAAGCTTAAATAAATAAAACATAAATTTTTCAAATTAGGTTTCACAAATGCACTGGTTATCAAACAAACAAACAAAAGCCTTCAAGGTTAGGCCATAATATCATAATATCTCTGCTTTAAAACAACAACAACAACCTGGCAAAGACATCTTCAAAGATGCTGTAGATAAAGTGTCACCTTGGAATACTAAGGCAAGAAAAACAAGGACGGCTATAATTCCAAAAATCTTCAAAGTATGGTGTTGTCCAAAGAGTCTAGAGAGTCTAACAGATTTCTAAGAGTAATTAATCAGACAGCTTTATAGTCCAAAGACATTTTTTTAAGGTGCCAGTATAAGACTGCCAAAATGCAAACATTTAACCAGAGTAGAAAATTTTTCAAAGGATGAAAAGAATATCACATCTAGTGATTCAGTATAATGGACTGGTGTCATAACTCTGTGCACTGGGGACAAGAAATTTTTAGCAATCACTGATGTTGTCCCAAAGAAATATTCTCTAATCTATGATGTTCAATAAGGTAGCCACCAGGCACATGTGGCTACTGAGGACCTGAAACGTGGCTGGTTGATTGAAGAACTTAATATTTAGTTTTATTTCATTTTAATGTCTTTAAATTTAAATAGCCACATATGGCTAATGGCTATCACATGGACAACGCCAATCGAGAAGATATAGGGAATATTTTAACACTCTTAAAGCAAGTATTTACTACAACAAACTTTCCAACTAAAAATGAATTTGATTGTCTCAGGAAATAAAGCTTTCCACTTTTCCCACTTAAGAGAAAGAATTCCCCTCCAAAAAAAAAAAAGAAAAAAAAAAGCTTTCCCCACAGGCAGTAAGTTTCAAAGACTCACTTTAGTATCTTTAAATTTAAAGGGAATGGGGGAAAGAGATACGACTCACATGTGTCCAGGGGTGCGGTCGGTGGATTCTGTCATATACTCCATTTTCCTGTATGTCCTGATTTAAGAGAGAGAATGAATTGTGGGATTTAAGTCATTTGCCTATTCAGCTCTATACAAATCTTCCTTCTCCTCTTAATAAGGCAGCCAAGCCTCGTAAAGCAGTAAATAACAACCAATTCCACGTGGCAACTCCAAGAAATAACTTCCTTTAATATCAGAACCCAGGGAATTCCGGAGTTTCCCGTAAGTAAGACCCTCGGGCCCTTAAACTCGGCCGCTGACCGCTGGCATCACCTCGGCGCCAACCCGTACCGGCCCAAGCAGGGGTCTGAAAGGCTGGGGCCGCCACCCTCACCCTCACGCCTGCAGCGACCGGGCCTCGGACCCGCGCTGCAGAAATCGCCGGCGGTGCCACGGCGCTGCGGGCCACCTACCCCGACCCCACACCCAGCGGGTGGGACCTCACGCAGACTCCTGGACGGCGGAGCACGTGCGGCACGCACGCGGCCTGAGGCCTGCCCCAACTGGGGGAATCTGCCGTACTCTCTTCAGGGACCCCGCGCGACAACAGGCCGGATCTCCGCCCCAGAACCTACTTTGCTAGTCTGGAACACACCCAGACTTGCGGCGAAACAGCAACAGAACAGCCCCTATTGCCCCCTTAGTGCCGACCTCAGCCTGCTACAATACAGCGAAGATCTCGCGAGAGAAGAGCTCGAAATCCCGCAGACGGGGAGAAGGGAGTTAAAGGGGCGGCTAGGGGGCGGAGGAGGGGAAGGCTTAGGCGAGCAGTGGGGGGTGGGGATGGAGCTTAGAGGCGGGGCAAGTGGGGAGGCGTGGGGAGAGAAGGCGTGGCCTCCCTCGTGCAACGGTGCCCAGACTCGCACAGACTTTCCAACTCTTCTCTTGGGTTATCGTCCTTTCCGATTTTCCCTGGCCAAAATTCACTCCAGGCTAACCTCCCCCATCAGATACCCTGATTGGGAGCTTGCTTGCTTCTTGTTAAGTGATTATATAAAAGTTATCTGTAAACAGTACCACACACAATACACAAACAAATTAAACTTCATCGAGGGCAGTGTCTTTGTCTCTTTTGTTCCCATCCTGTCTGTGCCTAATGCCTGTTACATCCTAACTAAAATGCGTATTTGTTGAAGAGATGAAAGAAAGAAAGGTAAGACCCAATTATTTGTGAAGTCTGTTATTTTTAGTCCACTAATTGTTAGAATGTGCTTCCCTTAGTGCATTTAATATTTCCTTATGACTTTATACCTTCATCTTAGAACAGCACAGACCATGCCTAACCACTTCTTCTCATGACAGAATTTCAAATATTTAAAGAACACAATCATTTTTTCTGTCTTCTCACCCCAAATTTCAAGGAATAAGCAAAGTCATCTTATAGAAGGTGACCAAAGTAGGCCTCTCATTTCTTGCCTAGGGTACTTAAGTAATCTTCCATTCCTTCTCCTTACTTCCAGACTCCAATCTATCCTTCTAAGTGCAAATCTGATTTTGTCACATTCTCCTGCTTTGAATCCTTCAGTGGTCTCTGACAACTTTCATATTCTTTCCAATTTCTCTGCATGGAAAGAAGACCCTTCAGGATCTAATCCTGACATACCCTGTCACATTCCCAAGCATGCAGCCATACAGACCAGTTGGCAGGTCCTACAGGAACTAGTCCACCTTTGCTTATGCCTGGGACAGTCTGCCTTAAAGATTAAGCTATAGTATCATATATTAGTTTCCTATTGCTGCTGCAATAGAATAACACAAATTTATTATCTTACACTTCTGGAGGTGGTAAGTCTAAAAAAGATGTTCTTCCTTTGTGTGTGGTCCTACAACATCTTTATAGAATGGTGCCAACAACATTAAATTGGATCATAAATTTTCTACTCTGCATGTTCCACAGGTTCAGCTGCTGGAGAGAAGTCTGAGTCTCGTTCTTCTCCATCTTCCCTGCACCTAGCACAGTGCCTGGTGCAAAACAGACCCTCAATGTATTTTGGTGAATTAATTATTCATTTGATACAACAACTCTGAAGAAAGAGCTTATCTTCCCACTTTTTCCATTCATATTGTCATTTCTCTTAAGCCAAATACCACTAGGAACACAACTGTAGTTAAACAGATTGTGTTTATTACTCACTGAAGTGAATGCAAACATATTGTGAGGAATCATGGAGTGTCTCATTAAGAGGGTGTTACAAAAAACCCATCATAGAGGCGCCTGGGTGGCTCAGTTGGTTAAGCATCTGACTCTGATTTTGGCTCAGGTCATGATCTCAGGGTCATGAGATCAAGCCCAGCGCTGGGCTCTGTGCTCAGCGGGAAGTCTGCTTGAGATTCTCTCCCTCTCCCTCTACCCCTCCCCCAACTCATGCTTGTGTGCACGTGTGAACGCGCTCTCTCCCCCCTCAATAAATAAATAGGGGCACCTGGGTGGCTCAGTTGGTTAAGCATGTACCTTCGGCTCAGGTCATGATCCTAGGGTCCTCCCATGGAGTACCCCCTATCCCCATCAGGCTCCCTGCTCAGCAGGGAGGTCTGTTTTTCCCTCTGC